AGCTCCCAAGTGGGATAGTGGTGAATTACAGGAGGTCGTAAGTTTGCAGCACCCTTAAGAAAGCTGCAGACATGTGGATGGTGCGCTATGGAATGAAGGTTACCCCAGGATATCACCGAGGCTAAGGCTGCCACCTGTCTGCGTAAAGTATTTGGAGATAGGCCCTTGGTCAACCCCTCCTGTAAAAAGTCCAATAATTGTCCTATTGATGGGGCGGTTGGGTCGATCTTAGACCCCCGGCACCAGCAACAGAAAGCGAACCACGTGGCCTCGTATATACGATTTGTTGAGGACCGTCTGGATGCTTGTATGGTGGCAATGGCATCCTCTGAAATCTGTTGGGTCCTCAAACGGCTCCGCTCAACCTCCATACGGCTAGGCTGAGCCATTGTGGGTCTGGGTGAAGTACCGGCCCTTGCAAGAGGGAAACCCTCAACGGTGGAATTTTCCAAGGTTGTTCTCTCGACAGGTCCTGTAAGTCCACGAACCACGTTCACCTGGGCCAGTAAGGGGCAACCAATATCAATTCCGCTCGTTCCTCCAATAACTTCTGGATCAACCTGGGTATTACATGGAGTGGAGGAAACACATATAGAAGTCCGGGAGGCCACTGACATCGCAGGGCGTTGACGGCCTACGCCCCCTGAGTCGGGTACCTTGAAATATACCGGGGCAATTGAGCATTGAGGGGAGAGGCAAATAGATTGATCACTGGTTGCCCAAACCTCCGCACTGCTTCCTGGAGGAAAGACGGGTGTAGGCGCCACTCTGTCTGATTTATCGTGGCCCTGCTGAGCCAGTCCCCATCCTACCAGGCTGGCATCGGTTGTGATTGTTGCCCTGCAAGGTTCCTTGAAAGGACACCCCTTGTTTATCGTGTTTTCCGACCACCAGCGGAGCGATTGGAGAACATTGTGCGGTACCTTTATCCGGACGTTGGAAGTGGCTCTTCTGGATCGCTGGAAAGGTAGCAGGAACCATTGCATATCTCTAGAATGGAATCGAGCCCAAGGCACAATAGAAATACAAGAAATCAGTTTCCCTAACAGTTGAGACAGAACTGCCAGGGAAACCCTCTTTAAGGCTCTGATCTCTCTGGCAAAAGACTGGATACTATTCAACCTGTCCTGAGAGAGAAAAACCTTGCCCTCCACGGTATCCCTAAATGAACTAACCTAGTTGAAGGGATCAAATGGCTTTTATCCCAATTTATGGGAAAGCCGTGACCTTGAAGGGTCTCCAGGGTAATCTTGGTATCCAAATTTGCTTTATGTCTGGAAGATGACAAAATTAAAATATCATCCAGATAACATTGTAAACGAATAGATTTGATCCTGAGGGAGGCAGCCAAAGCCACTAGGACCTTGGTAAAAGTCCTAGGGGCCGAAGCCAGACCGAATGGTAGGGCGATATATTCGTAGTGCCGATCACAATAGCAAAATCTAAGGTATTTGTAGTGAGCAGGTCTAATTGGTATATGTAGATAAGCCTCTGTCAGATCTATAGAGGTCAGGACATCGTTCTCTCTGATGCTGAGCAGAATGGACTAGAGAGTAGTCATCTTGAATTTTCGATAAACCAATGATCTGTTCAGACGTTTGAGGTCCAGAATTGCCCTCCAGCCCCCCAAACTCTTTGGGACCACAAACAATAGAGAGTAACAGCCTTGACCCCGTTGTTCAGATGGGACCTTTCTAATGGCCCGAATATGTAGAAGATGATTGATAGCCTCCTGCATCAACACTCTCTTAATGGGGTCCGTGGACCTAGGGCTCCTAATGAAAAAGTTCGGGGGGGGGGAGGATTGAAACTCTAGCGCCAAACCAAACCTAACAGAGTCCCTGACCCACGCATCAGAGGTGGAGCTGTCCCATTGATCAGCAAACAATTTTAGCTGCCCTCCAATGGGAGCTGTTGTCAAGGATACACTTGGGGCGATGAAAAAATCGGCCTCCGGTACCTCTGGGGTTTCTTCTGTTTTGGCCTCCCTGCTGACCTCGATCGGAAGATTCCGACCTATCCTGTCTAAAACTGGGCCTGTAGCCTGATGTTCTCTGCGATCTGGGAACGTATGGGCCTTGATAGTAGGGTCGAAAGCAGCCCCTTCGAAATGACTGGGGCGTTCTGTTTTCAGGCCTCCGAAAAAGAGGGGGAAGCACTTTTTCTTGTTTCTGTTCTCAATAAGCAGGGGCTCCAAGACACTGCCAAATAATTTATCCCCCGATATTGGGGCTGATGCCAGCTTGCATTTATGCTTGGTATCCGCCTGCCAATGTCTGAGCCATAGCAGTCTCTGTGTTGATGCGTGAGATGCTTTGGCTCTAGACGAGAATTTGACTGGATTAAATGTGGCATCGGCTGAGAATTCTGCCGCTGCAATAATCTTAGCAATGTCCTGGTGGGCTCTGACATTTGACGCCGGCAATATATCCCTCAAGTGGAAGAGCCATCGTAGGGAGGACCGTGTAAAAAAGGACGCAGCTGTAGCTGCCCTAATGGCCCAGGCATCAGAAACATGCGCCCTATGGAGTGCCAACTCTGCTCTCTTTTCCTCCGGTCTCAGGACTTCCTCGGCCTCATTGGGAAAGGTTGAAGAAGAGGCCAGTGCCACAATGGGCTCATCCTCCTCCGGCGTTTTGAGAAAATTTGAAAACTCTGCTGCCAAATTATAATATCGTTTATCGTACCCTGTTGGGGCTGGGTAGGATGCTGCTGATGCCCATTGATTTTGTACTAATTCAGCAAACATACGAGGGACAGGAATAGTTTCTGCCTGATTAGCCGGTTGTGAGAATATTAGATCCTCGGATTTGTCCTGAGACCCTGTTGACAATGGATGAGGGCTTGATGTGCCTAGTTTAGCGGTGTTCTTTGCTCTGAACAGTAAAGATTTAAAGAGGTGCGGACAAAAAAGGCCAGAAAAGGTAGGTTGGTCCAGAATGAGGCCTTCGTCATCCGACATTCCTCGTTCTAGTGGGTCAGCCTCTGACAACCCCAAGTCCATCTGATGGATCAACCCCACCTCCATGGGAACATCCTGGTCATCTAATTCCACCTCCTCCCGAAGACCCTGGACTGGTATGTCAGGAATATTGGGGAATACCTGAGTTTGATGATGTCCCACATGCGCAAAGGATCGAGCAGACAGGGATCCCGCTTCCGAAATAGCCGAAAAGTGTCTGGTCTGGATGGATTGCTGAACTCCAGCCGCAATGCCCTTTTGTATGGCCATCTCCATCCATTGCCTCATTTCGATGGGAATAGTCTCAGGTAATCCCTCCTCCTGTCTTAAACTGGCGGCCATAGAGGTGAAGGTTGTCTCTGGGATTCGCCAGGCAGTGCTCATTGGAGGAGATGCGCCTATGGGAGGCTGTCCAGAAATAGCCTGTCTGGGCTGGGTGGATAAGTCCAAGGGCCCCAACAATGTACTTGGGCTCTGATCCAATTGTTGTGTCATAGCCATCTTGTCCGCCTCCCTGGCCCATTTCTGCAATTGCCTTTCCAAGGCTTGGTGCCCTCTATGGGCATCCTTATCCGCCACCTAAGAGGCCTTTTTGGGGCCCACTGACTTATCTCGGGACTTATTTGTCTTGGAGCGGAAGACGTTGTCAACTTGCATTGTGGAGGACTGATTCTCGTGCCTCTTTTAATTTTTTTAAAAATTATTGTTATTATTGTTGTTGTTGTTATTATTATTATTAGTAGTAGTAGTACTTAGGGGTGATGCCTACCCCTGTGGTTGAAAGTAGAACGCTTCTCCAGGAATGTAAGTGTGTGTGTGTGTGTGTGTGTATTTTTTTTTTTTTCTTAAGTTTTCGTGGGTACTTACATGTATGGCATTCAGCTTTGTTCGGGTATTTTCTCACGTCATAGTAGTTGTGCTTTTAAAGTTGTAGCAATATTTCAGCAGAATCTCATCTGCCATCATCACCACTATACAGAAGCCTGATGATGGCAGATGAGATTCTGCTGAAATGTTGCTACAACTTTAAAAGCACAACTACTATGACGTGGGAAAATACCCAAACAAAGCTGAAGGCCATACATACATACATACATACATACATACATACATACATACATATATACACACACACACACATACATACACACACACACACACACACACACGTGCCTATATCTACATGTAAAACTGTTTATATGGGAAACAGTATCTAAGGGTCCCCAACAAGGGAAACGGCAAGGAGAAGTGAGCTGCGGCTGTGAGCGCTCCGCCAAGATTGCAGAGATAAGACGATCGGGGGATTAGATAAGCTAATTGCCTGAAGCGGCTGTCTCAGGCTGCCTGCAGAGTGGCAGGCTCCGCCAGCCACAAAGAACTGCTCTCAAACTGATCGAGGGGATGACCTAATAGAGCCACAAGCCTTGAAATCACCAAATTAATTGGGGCAAAAATTACAAGCCGAATTAACCCAAGAGCAAACCTGAACTTTGACTAGCTGAATCAGAAAACCGTTCCAGTCAGGGAGTGCATAACCTCTTATCACGAAGGCTGAGCTAAAACTGGGGGATGCTGGGGAGGTGTCCCGTGGAGGAGGAGGAGCGTCCCGGAGTTTTAAGCCCAGCCTTTCCAGAAAAGACTGAAGCACCTCCCACTTCTGGATGCTCTTCACAGCTCATGGGAGAAACTTCCCTCGACGGAACTGGTTTCCGGCGGTTGGGGGCTGCTGGTTTAGTGTTTGTTATAGCACTGATTTGGGGTTCACTATTAAAGCGAAGAAATCTTTTAGGGTTATTTTTACTAGCGAAATGCTGGTAATGCAGGAGTTGATATAATACAGTTCCTTCTCTTTAAGGTTATACTTTAGTTCTGCAGAATGCCAGTCAATTAATCTGATATAAATAAATGCTTTAAAGTATTTATTTGTTAGAAAATACCAGAGTATTTTTTTATGATGTGAAGAATTCCTTCAACTTTTATTTCTGTATATAAGAATCTTTCAAAGTTGATAAAATATTGGTAGTATATTTTACAGTACCTGCTGTTGTTGAAGATGGGCAAGATCCGCTGCACCGATTTCCACCGAAGGTGTCTCTCCGTTTGGTCTTATTTCACGTAGGGTGCAATCTAGTAAGGAGTTGACAGTGCTTGCTCCATTCTGAAGGGCTGAACCATTACTTTTTGTCTCAGTTCCAGATTCTTGCATCATGACTCAAAAACCTGGAATAATTTAATGGAAGAAAGAAAAATAATAATAAAGTAGACGGAAAAACACTTCACTTACTTTACAGCTTGCTACAATTAAAAGTATTTGCTCCCTCTTTTCATATGATTTATATTTTCATTATTAGTTCAAGCATAAGTTACATTGATCTATTGGTAATTCTGCAACATTTTAAAAATGTATTATTCATCTAACTAGGGCAGTACTTGCTCAACAAGTTCCTTTTCTGTCAGAGTGAATTCAGATGTGCAATCACAAATACTTTAAGATTTACAATTCAGTTGCTTTAACAATACTTCAACATTTTTCTTGAATTGTGTAAGACAGTTTTAATAATACTATATATTAAAAGAAAAGTGGTAAAATGAAGCAAACCCCACTTAACAAATGTTTCACTTAACAGAAATGTTGGGCTCAATTGTGGTCATAAGTCAAGGACTAGCTGTATTTTTAAACAAAGATAACCATTTGACTTGAATAGATGGATCATGATGGTGGGACAAACCTGAATAAAGTTACAAAAGTTTTTAAAAGATAGCACTCATGACAGGCTAAAATATACTGATCAATCCAGCTCTTTGTACCGTAACCGGGTTGGAATCCTAGAGGAAACTACTTTTTTCCATCAGAAAAGTAATAGATATCTAATTGCCAACAGAGACAATCTTCTTTTATAATGATGAGTGTTAATTATTCTTTCGAGTAAAGTGAGTACATTTACATGTCATTAATCTGAAACATTTGGATTATTAATCTGCATTCAAGGATTTATGAATGACATAGTTTTGCTTGAGAAGAACTTCAGTAAAGGCTTTGATCAATCTTTGACAAAGGACTACTCTGGGTTTACTATTAAAGAAAACTTCTTCAGCCCATTTCTACCAGTACATTAGTAGTACAGGAGATGATATAATGTAATTCTTTCTTTTGCATCCTAAACAATTGTTTAAACTCTTGACTATTATCTTGCACACAAACATCTCACTACATCTGAAAACAGAGACTCTTGGGTGCCAGTGGGTCCCAATGAATGATCTTCCTAGATAACCACAATATACCTACCCCGCCCCTCAAGTAAGGGAAGGACCCACAGTATATAGTATATGTTCCCTCAAGACTAGCAAAATGGAAGCAAGGGATCTCTGTAGAAGCAACCCCATGCAATCAGCAAGGGATCCACTGTCAATTTTCAAGGTATGGTGTATTCAAGAGATTTAGGAACTCTTCTCTTGAATCACATTCTGGAATTTCCACATTACTCAAAAATCCAAAAGAGCTTATGATTTAAATTACTCCTTCTAATTCTAGACCCTTCACTTTCAGAGTACTGTTGGATTTTTTTTTAAAGAAATACAGTCAAGTGTGCATACTGTTGTTCTCTTCATACAGTATAAGACTACCAAAATGTCCAGCTGGGGAAAAATACAAATGAGTAATTTCAGTAATAACAGTTGAAGTATAGGTGAGTGCTATTTTGGTAACCAATCACAGGCCTCTTCCCACCCATCTCATCCAACAGTCAACAAAAACAGAATGGTTAGTTGTATTTATTCACCCAAGGTTACTCCATAACAAGATATGTCTGTGTATCACTGTAAAATCTTTACATAATATAATGCAAGTTTCACCCAAAAGTGAATTATGTATAAACAATTTAATTTTTTTTAAAGTTGGTAGAGGAAAAAAACTGTGCAATTGCTAATAATTGTGGGTACAGATAAAATCTAGGTAAAAAGTAACATTTTCTTCAAGTTGAATGCTCTTTTCTTGGCAACAATACAGAAATGATTTGCCACTGTATTTTTCTCAGATATTTTGATTTCAAAATGTAGTATACAATTCTGGATTTCTCCTATCCAGATATTAATGAAATCAGATTATACTTAATGTTTTGAGATAAAGCCAAATTTTGCTAAGTGCTCTCATTCCTGTGACAAAAATAAATAGGCTAGAGAATGAATAGGACGAGAAACAAATAATTGATGTTTTTCTTTAAAACATTTCCTGTCTTGATTGTCAAAGAATAAGAAAGAAACATAATCCAGAATGGATTATTTTTTCATTGAAATACTTTGTATCCCTTCTTGGCATAGAATTGTCCCATCAAACATATGCTTTGTTATATTTTCTGAATAAAATTCTTGCAAAAATGTAAGTTCTGAACTATTGGTATAGTTATAATAAATCTTTTTCAGGGAAGGTTGAAGCAAAATTTGTGTCAAAGCAAAACAATTTTTTCATCTTCCTGAATGATTCAAACTATCAGGTAAAACTAGCTTTATTCCTGAACAGTTAAATTAAGTTTGACCAAGTCAAACTTCTGCTTCAACCAGCTTCTATCACAATAATACAAGAGCACACAACAGATACAAACTCAATGTAAACTGCTTGAAACGTGATTGCAGAAAGTACTACTTCAGTAACAGAGTGGTCAATGCCTGGAATGCACTACCTGACTCTGTTGTTACATCCTCTAACCGCCACTCCTTTGACCTCAAACTATCTACTACTGACCTCACCCCATTCCTAAGAGGTCTATAAGGGGCATACATAAGTGCACCATCATGCCTACCGTCCCTGTCCTATTGTCCCCATTTTTTCGTACCTATTTCCTGTATTCTTACTCATGTTTATACTTATACCTATTATCTTGTAAGCGGCTGACAATCAAATAAATAAATAAATAAATAAAAATAAAAAGTCAGGCACATATAAATTAATTTGGTTGATCAATCATTTATATCAAGCAGAATAAATTGCCTTTAAAAAGTTGCCCAATCATTTAAGAATGTTTAATTTAAACACAGATTTATGCAAAATATTTCTATGAAAATCATGCAAAAGCAAACGATTTAATAGCATGAGTTAGTAAAGGAATATTTAACTCTCTGCCAGAAAAAAAGCCACCCAGAGTTTATTTGGATAGTGAGATGGGCAGCATATAAATGTAATAATAAAATAAAAATTAAACATAAATCTGTTAGTCAAAAATTTACTCTTCATTTTAAAATAACCCTCATTTGGCTAACCAGTGGGTAGTAGCCACAGTGTTAATCATGGTCAAATCATTAATAGAAGACAATATTTGTAGCTCTGGATTGAACATGGAGGTCCTTTACGCTCTCTGAGCTTGGATGTTTTCTTACAGATATTCATTGCCCAACTAAGTAACAGCATCAGTACCAGAAGGGACCAATGATGTTACTAAGTTGTTAATGAAGCATCTGCTGAAAAACAACCAAGCACAGAGAACACCAAGGACCCCACACATCATATTATTTCTTCTCAGACAATTAGTTTCTACTGAAGGTAGAAGTAGGTAGAAAGTTGGGGGGTGTTCTGGAGATTAAAAAAACTCAAGATGGCAGCCACACAGCAACATAGTCAAACAAACACTTTTTGGATTCTACCCTTCCCTTATTTTTCTGCAACAGGCAATTACTGGATAACAGCGAGGCATGAACTGTTGGTTTGAACTTTCCCCACTCTATCATCAACTATCATCTTTGTCAGAGCTGCCTCAAATAGTAAAAAAATGGGTTCAGAAATGAATAAGCTGCATTACCCCACAACCCTTGAACTCTTAACTCTGCTAGGAAAGATCATGCATGCTATGAGGCCTTTTGCATTACAAGTAGCAAGTCTCTATAAGGAACAAGAGGTGAGTCACCTCTTACTCTTACGCTGTCATTTTATTTTGTGTTGGTTTATCAATCAACTGAGTCAGTCAATTGCGTGAGTGTATAGCAGCACAATGCTATTTTAACTTGGGTTTTGTTGTTTGTCGTTTTGTTTTAATTGGGATTAAGTATCCAGTTATACTCCTAAAACAATACCTTCTGCTCCTTTTTAGGACAAAGCTGTTCCAGTATAGTATGGTGTGAATCATGTTCTATATGTCCCTTTTTGACCATTTTTATGTGTTAAATCTCTGTGGACAATATAGTACAGTGGCTATGGACATCATAGTAACAAATTCTAGGCCAATCAAGCAAAGAACAGAATTTTCCATATGGGTTGCAGCATAAGGAAAAACAGAGACAAAACATTTCATCCTATTGGACCATACGATTTTCAAGTGACCTTTGAATGGGTAGAAATGTGACATTAAAGACATCCACATGCTAAAATGCATTCTGAAATTATAACAAATCTGTTGGATCAAGCAGCTTTTAAAAAAAAATTAGACTTTTTTTTTAGAAAAAGATCCATAGAAGCCTTTTCTGCAGTTTACCAAAAAATATACTATGAAGGTTCTATACCAGGGGTCCCCAACCGCCGGTCCGCGGACCGGTACCGGTCCGCGGAACAAGTCTTACCGGGCCGCTGGTTGCTGGGTGCCGCCATCTTTTTTTGGTAAAAAAGTGCTTCCGGTGAGCTTTTCCAGGTAGAAAGCTCACCGGAAGCACTTTTTCATCAAAAAAAGATGGCGGCACCCAGTTGATGCCGGTACCGGGCCGCGGCGCCCAGCTGATGCCGGTACCGGGCCGCGGCATCAAAAAGGTTGGGGATCACTGTTCTATACTACAAAGGAAAAGGAAAAGAATAATTATCCTTTATCAGATTAGATGAATCTCTTTTCAATGTCATTATCAATGATTAGCTTTAAAAACTAAGCTCTAGGGAAAATATTAATTTATGTATTTATTTACTTATTCAATTTGGAAACTGATTGACTTTCAAAAAAAAAATTAAGGTGGATTAAAATACACTTGAAGGGAAAAAAAACCAAGCAATAAAAATGTGGGCAGCTCGAAGAGTAAACAACCAAACATACCTGAAAACTAAACAAAAATTAACATAGGTACAGTATCTACCTAGTCCCTTCTTGTTGTAAAATAACACCACTAACAATTTATCTACATGTTAGCAAGTTGATAACAGTACAATGTGATACAACATTTTGCATATCAGCCAAAGAAAATGTAAAATATTTTTCTCTTTCATGCATATACTACTGAGACCACATACTTCTTATGTATTTGAGTCTACATTA